ATTTACGACTACATGACGTTATGTTGAGTGTTGATGGAGCTGCTACAATGTTAGCTTAGCATAGCATTGATCAATGCAAACTCCCTTCAGAAAACAAGCATTTTAAAACTTGTCATCTTGAGGAGAGAACTAACAAAACATGAATTCAGACTTTTTACAAATCTGCATCATGATGACGTTATTTCAGCATCATTTTAATCTGTTTATTGTAATTAGATTTACAGCTAAATCAGTTTATTTTGGGTTCAAACAGCTGTAGTGAACCCAGAACTGGAGCCAAGATGGCCGCCTCTGTAGTTTAGAGGAAGCCTGACGAGACGGAGACAGGAAGTTGTTGTTGTCTTTGGTTCATGTTCGTCTTTAACTCGCTTTCTTTCTCTTTCCCGCTTCGCCATCTTTTATTTTGTTGTCCTGGTTTTGTTTCGGTCGCTCTCCATTCCTTTGTACCACCTCCCTCCTTCTTCCTCCTCTCTCTCTCTTTCCTTCTCTCTCTCCCTCCTTCCTTCTCCTCTTTCTCTTGACATACCTCCTCATGTCCTCCCCCACTTTGTGCTTCACCCTTGCTTCTTCTCCCTCCCCCCTTTTTCCATCTCCACCTCTGCTCCCATCCTTTCTGCATTCCCTCCTCCCTCCCTTTCTCTCTCCCCTTCTCTCTCTCTCGTCAGGCTTGACCAAAGATGGCGGCGGTAGTGCGAACGCCGAGTCGCTTGAGGAGGTTCTTAATATTTTAGCAGAGGAGGGCTCTGATTGGATCTATGGCTTCTTCACCTTCCTTTATGACGTAGTGTCCTCACCCGTAGAGGGGGAGGAGGAGGGGGAGGAAGGGAAGGAGGAGAAGACCTCCTCTGAAGACGAGGAGGTCAAAGGGGTCCCGCTGGACCTCCAGAACCAGTAGGAGGACAGGAAGCAGAGCCGGTAGCTCGGCTCCGTGGTCCCACTACGACCAATGAGGACCAGACTGTGGGGCGGTCCGGTCCGGCTGGAGGAGGACGGAGGACGGTCTGGTTCCCGCTGCAGGGCCAGACTGGCCAGACTGGGCAGAACAGCCTTTAAATGCAGGAGGAAACTAAACGGTCTGAAGACAGTAGTTCTGATTAAAGGATGCAGCTCATTTAGTGGTTTATTTGATATAAACCAGAGCCTGTGCTGGATTATGACATATTTTCTTATTTGTGTATATGTTGCCCAAGATTAAGATAATAAAAACATAGTTAATTTAATGCTGAGCACCGTCACCACAGTGTGTATTTACATTAATTACTTACACAGACTTTAGTCACCTTCACTCTTTCATCTTTGAATTCATTTATTTCTTTGTCATATTTATATCATCGTCACTTAGACTGTTTTAAAACAGTGATTCTCTTAAATCTGACATCTCCCGATAGAGAGGTTAAGTCCCGCCCCCTTCTGGTGGAGTCATGGGACCTTATTTGATCCCGTTTGAATCACACATTTGATGTTTGTACATTTAAAAGATAACTTTGCACGTGAAAGAAGTCGCATTTTGTCGTAAAAACTGTTTAAGTATCGGACTCCGAATACGACATTAAGTGTCGTAAAGTGACGTCTCTCTCTGATAATAAGAGCCGATGATAAAAACACATCAAGTAAAAGATAACGTTACATTTGGAGCAATGCTAAGCTAGCTAGCAAGACAAGCTAACGGCCGTGTTGGTGTTGATGACGAGAGATGTTTCACACAAAACTAAAACAATCTACGTCAAACTGAGACTTTCTTGACGTGCAAAATGATTTGTTAAATTGACAAACATCACTTCAAACGGGATCAGAAACAATATTTATTCTTCTCTACGAGCTTCATTTCACTCTTTATTATTTACACAACATATAAACTGTAATCTGTAAGAACATAATCCATATTCCATTATTTAAAAAGGAGGTCAGGGAGCAAAAAAACGTCTAAATAACATCATGAGATGAAGAATAGATGATCTCTGTACATCTGATTATCCGTCTTGTCCTCAATCAATCAATCAATCAATCAATCGGAGGCTGTTTTGTGTATTCCGCTGTGTTCTGTTGATATTAATGCGACTCACTTCATATTAACGACACCTTTCTGCCTGTAAACCACTGACGATCACAGATTTGTAGATCTTATAAATGTGATGCATTGACCATGTTTGCGTCTCGGTGTTTCTGTGCTGCTACAGTTAATAACAGCAGCTGGTTGTAACGATAAACACCAACATCTCCAGCCTTCTTTGTGTTACGCCGTGTTTCTGTGTAGCTTTCATTGACGTTCCTCTTCTGTTCTGCTCAGATGAGAAGAAGTTAAAAGCTCTCAGGAGAGACAATCTGAGTAAAGGTACCGTCATAAAAGTGTGTGTGTGTGTGTGTGTGTGTGTGTGTGTTTTCCTGCTCTGATGCTAAGCTAACAGCTAACAGATCCATCTGTTTGTGAACCTTGTAGAGGACAAGAAAGAGGTGAAGAAGAAAGGTCAAAGTAAAGGTAGAAACCTTTGATTCTCATCTGTACTAAATCTGAACGGGTTTCAATGAGGAGTGAACCAAAAATAACACAACCTGCTTGGTTTTGTCCTCTAAGTTCACTTCTACTTTATTTATATTTGTCGTGTTGTTGTTCAACCTTGAAGTAGTTTAACGCTCTGAACCCCAAAAACACGCTGGCAGGATGGAAACGCATGTTTGTTTTTAAACAATCACCAAAACCGCACCGTTTATCACAACCAGACACTGTAAAAAACGTCTATCGTCTGATCTTACATCTTTTCCGACGGTCCTTGAACACATCGTGTGTGACGAAGACTTCCATCAGAAGAATCAACCAAAACGAAGCTTTAAAATCATATTTCATCATAAACATTTTAGTCTTCGTGTTGTCATTATCAATGTCTCCTCTAATAAAGAGTTCACTTTAACCAGAATGTGTAGAAACATTAAAGTGTGAAACTATGACGTCATGATTGATTCATCTGAGACCAACAGTCATGTGACTACAAGGACGAGACACTCTGACTGAACTACAGGAAGTGAACACAGAGTATAACTGGATTATTAAAACACATTAACTTATTTTATTTATTAATAATTTCTCTATTGAATGTACTTCACTATAGTACAATATCTGCCTCACCATTGCCGTATTGCACACTAATCTATTGACTGACATCACTTCTGTTTTTATCACCTTGTTTTGCTTTGGAGTGTTTGTGGTGAAGTTTGCTAAAGCTTGATACATTTCCAGAATCTTGCAGCACATAGTTGTGGCTTCTCTGCCTGGTTGTGATGATGTGACGGTTCTTTTGGCTTCAGTATCAAACAGTTTTATGTGTTCTTCGTCCTAGAAGACGAGACGTTAGAGGAACAAGAGATTAAACTCCCAAAAGGTAGATTTGTGACTTATCGTCTGTGAGTAAGTTTGTGATATTAATCTCTCGTCGTATCCATCTGTTGATGTGAATTTGACTTATTTATTGTCTGCAAATGAGTTCACCGTGTGAATAAATAATCTTAATATTTGACATCCATCTGAAGCAGAGGAGAGTTCTGCTAGAGACGCAACCGGAGGTATGAAAACGAGCAGCCTGCACGTCTGAAATAAAGACTTTTCTGTTGTTGTGACTTGATGTTGTTAAGGCACGGCTTTGGTTTAACAGCTGATTGATGACGATAGATGCTCTGTGTATGAACTTCATTGGACTAAATTCCTTTATTGTAGCCTTGCAGACACAAATAATTGATTACTTAAGTCAGTTGACAGTAAAATGTATGGATGCTAACTAATTTATGCATTCTTTGCATTCATTAAAAATGAACGATGTCTCAATTTCATTTATTTTTGTTTCACATTTTTTTAAATGTATCGCAGGTGGTCAAATAAATTAAGCTGTTTGAAAACATCTCTAATCCATAATATTAACCAATTAATGTATTTCGTACATTTATTTATATTAAACGCATTTTAACAGAAGTGCATTCGACACAATTAAACAAGGACTTTGCTCTTCGGTGTAACAGAACAAATTGTGTACCAGCATGTCACGTCCTTTTCTAATAATTCAATTCAACTGAATAAATTGAATTGAACACTTCCCGTGTTGTTTTGTGTGATCACGTTAACAAGTCGAACGGCGTGTTTCAAGTCATAACTGTGAATCACATTCACACTGCACTTTAAAGTTCCACCTTAAATCCAAAACCTCAGACCGTCCCGTCAGAGGAGCCCGGCTTCGCTCCGCTCTGAGGGAGGAGCTTAGGATGATCCACGAGAAGATGGAGGCCAAGAGGATCGCTCGCATCGCCCTGGCTGAGATCAGGGCCTTCCTCGCCGAAGAGGAGGAGAAGGAGAAGGCCTGGGCGCTGAAGATGAAGACGCTGGAGGCTGTGCAGGAGCAGCTGAGGGAGGAGAGGAGGAGGCAGGCGGAGAAGGAGAGGATGGAGAAGGAGAAGGCTGAGAAGGAAAAGATGGAGAAGGAGAAGACTGAGATGGAAAGGATGGAGAAGGAAGCGAAGGAGAAAGCTGAGAAAGAGCAGTTGGCTCAAGAAAGGGCAGAAAAAGAGAAACAAGAGATGGAGAGATTGGCCAAAGAACGAGAGAGGGCCGAAAAGGAGAGGATGGAGAGGGAGAATGAACAGTTAGAAAGGGAGAGGATGGCCAAAGACGGAGCTGAAAAAGACAAGCTGGAGCGGGAACGAATGGCCAAAGAAAGAGCTGAAAAAGACAAGCTGGAGCAGGAACGAATGGCCAAAGAAAGAGCTGAAAAAGAAAAGCTGGAGCGGG